AAAGGTCCTCAAGCCTTGAAGGAAAGACAGACAATGTCCTTCCAACTGTGAACGATATGCCTATACCTTCAATAATGAAGTGGCAGAGGCGGAGGGAAGGACTCAAATGCACAGAATCTGTGGAACATTCCGAAGCTTTGGTTGTCTTCTCCATTTTTCTCCCACTTTTTATCCTGTACCTTCAAGGAAAAACAGAACAAAGAATAAAATTTCGTTTTGTTCAACCAATTTTGGGTGTGTATCTAAGTAAATAAATGAGCAAGTAAATAAATAAATTAGTAGATAAAGGTTATTTATTTCAAGGGATAAAACGTTTTCTCACATTTGTGAGTAATTAGACCTCACCAGATGCTTCATTCTGCACTTTCTCTTCTTCTTACCCTTTCTTTATGGAAGGAGTAATTCAGAGCCCTTATCTTTCTGCTTCATTCTGTATTTGGAACAGATGGGTTTTAGAACCACACCACATCATACTTATTTCTTGATAATTTTAAATAATAACTATTACTTATCTAATTCTAAAAATAATATATGTCACTTTTGAAAACTGGGAAAAATTTAAAAATTGTGGAAGAAAATAAGATCATCTGTAAGCTAACTTCCATAATTATTATTGGCATTTGATTGCTTTCTTTCTATCTCTTTTTTTCTGTATATATTGTATGTGATTTTAGGAAAGGGAAATTATATCCTGTGGCATGCACTTTCCTAACTCATTAAATACCCCCTAGAAAATATGATTTTTAGTGGCAGTGCCTTTACATCGGTGTCCATTTCTTGCACATTTGGATATGTGATTTTACAGCACTGTGCTATGAAAGAAACAATTAAGCTTAGTTTCTTGCTATTGGCCTGACAAAGATATAAAACACCTGCTCTGAGTAAGTCTCCTTTCCTTAAGGTTTAGAATCTGAGGTGTTTATAATAATACAAAACTTAAGTATTAAGGAAGTAGCCATACTGGAGTAGGGTTGCCAAGGCCCAGAGTGGAGACCCCGAGCAGGTCCCCCTCTGCCCACTCCTCTGCCCTTCTCGACAGTGCCAAGCTCTTCGAGCTGTTTGATTAAGTAAGATCATGGATACAGAATGCTCCCACTTTATGCCACTGCGTCTCTCCCTCTTCTATCCTAGTGTATGCTCATGCATATGTATACACATGAATATACACATGCACACATTTATGAAGTATTTTAACATGTGAGAAAATTCTGCTTCTGAGTTCATGCAGCTAAGGCCCAGATCTTCCAGTAAAGAAATGTATTAGGAAAGCATCAGTCAATATCTGTGTGTCCCGTTTCCATGATATAAATGTCTGAATTAAACTATAAATGTTTTAAAACTGCTTTCTATCAATGTGCACTCCAAAAACCATACCAGCCAAGATCCACTCTTTTAATATTCTCTGTGATAGAAGCTGACACTCTATCCTCTACTCAAATCATCCCAATATCCCTCCTCCCATTTTCCAGATCTGTAGCACAGAGCATAAATATTTTTCAAAGCTGGAAAGATTTCTTCTTTTTTCAAATAGCATAAGGAAATGACTGATGATCTTTATTGTAGCAACAATTCATGTGTGCTTTTCCTGGGCTATTGCTGAGGAAATTCATCTTACCTAGTCAAATGGACTATACCTGACAAAGTTTGATTAAAATGCTCAGCAGATCTGGGGAGGAAAACTACCACATAACTTACATCTGAAACCAAAAAGACAGAGTTGTTTAAAAGGAACTTACCTTGTACTGTACTCTCCCCTGTTTTAAAAGCTAGGATTCATACTCAGTGTATTTTTTTTGCAGGGTCTGTCCCCATGTAGTGGTAGCAGTAGAAATTCAGTCTGTTGATGAGCTGATAGCCAAGCAGCATCACATGATGAAACAAAAAGCTGGGGAAATTTGGCTGCAGCCTTTCTCTGCTTCTGGACAACATTCAACTGCTAAGCTTAATCTTTTTTCCACCAAATTTTGTATCTAACAAAGTGTCAACTGCTAGACCTATCATATCTGCCTTATATGTAGATATGGGGGAGGAATGTGCATGGAGACAGAGTGGCTGAATATTAAAGATCAAGAAATCCATCAGGGCAACAGGCCATTATATGAGCATTTCTCAGATTTGGAGTCACCACCCTCCATCCTCATTACTCAGAATGATGAAGGCATAGTACCTAAATATAGAGGTACTGGCATGATTTTGACTGTGGTAATCTATGGAACTTTCCCATAGTTCAAGATAATATTCCATTCTTAATTTTTGGAGGAGAATGATATCTCCATATTTGATCTTGGATTAAAGGCTGCGTATGATGATAACGAACCTATGGCCCAAGATTCTTGCCCACACTGATGTCAGCATAAGTCTCCCATTTTAACCTGACTCATGAGACCAGGCTTACCCCTTCCTCTGGGCTAACATTATTACTACAGCCTTCCTTTCTTGACACACTTCCTTTGGAAAGCCTAATTGTGTGCAAACAATTATTTCAGAGAGAAAATATAGAGAAATAAAGGATGGAGTTAGTTTCCTTTCCTTAATTTCAGGTTTAGGATCTGAAGTGTGTGTAATAATTTTTTTAAAAAAGGAAAAACAGACATCTCTCAAATGGGAGGAGGGTTATCAGCATGATGGAGAAATAGGGGTGGGGAAATGAGAAAAATGATCTGTACAGTTGGTGATTGTCTACTGAGAAATAAAGAACAGTTGTGTGCAGAGCTCACATTTTTCAATTGAGTCTTCCTTAACTGTTTTTCCAGGATGCGATGAAATGCCTTCTAGGCATACCACATCTGCTGACTGGTAGGCACACATGCTGATTCATAACAGCATGCATTAGTCCTTGCTCAGTTCAGAAAAACAGAAACAGACCTATGTGTTCAACAGAGAGGGAATTTAATGTAAGGGATCTGCCACAAACTTACTCAAATAGGCTAGCAAAGCAAAACAAGACAGGTTAGCTGCTCCAAAGACTGGCATGACACTCAAATGCTGTCCCACCTAGAGCTGGAGGACAAACGGGAAAATGACTTTACCCAGAGTTCAAGAACACTGAGCCACTGAGGCTGCTCCCACTGGAACACTGCTGCCTGAGCAGCCCCTGGGGACCCAGCCGTCACCAGTCACCCTTGCTTATATGTTCTTTCCAAAACTGCTAATGTTACACTACTGTGTCACCATCCTCACCGCCCCTGTGACTGCTATCACCGATCTGGGTGCTGATTCTGCCAGTGCCACAGACACAAGCAGAAACCACGGAAAGGGCTTCTCCTGTCCTCCAGTCTTCCATCTCCACCTCCCAACGGATGCCAGCTGGTGAGGGATTCTGCAAAGTATATTTTGCAGTCTTCCAACAACTGTGGTAAAGAGAAATGAACAGAAGGGTAAGTACAAAGTTGAGAAATAATGGACACTATCCGACACATGGAGATAGCATCAACAAAAATCTAAGAGGTACCTCTTGTTTTTGTGAGGTCAGGCAGAAGGCCTAAGGACTTAGATGCAGTCAGTGTTTGCCTATTACCACTGAAGTTTGGAATTTTATAAGAAAAGACAAAATAAGAAATAATTAACTAGGCTCTGTAGATAGTGACATGAAATGAAATATAAATTTTTGGACAATAACAAGATTTAGGAATAATGAAACAGTGTATATCATTGGTTTTGGAAAAAGAAATTGTTTTCTCAAAGACTTAATGAGACTTTCAAAAGGAATTAAAACTGATGACAAAAAAAAAAGAATAGAAACACCCAGAATCTAATTATTATAGGGAATACAATGTTAACTATTGGTAGAAAAGATGCATACTATTTCATAGTTGAAATACTGGAATAACAGTGGGACAAAATGTTTAAGACATTGGTATGTCTGCACACCAGTGATTAAACCATGGCTAACAGTGTTTGCATAGCCCAGCAGGGTAAACAAGACCTCGTGGGCATTACCAAGTGAGGAAGAGGGACCCACAACTGGCATTCAAGATGAGGCTAAACCTTGATTCAAAGAATCCAGTCTACTTGAACAAGAGGCAGAATATCACTGTACATCATAGAGATAAGGAATTCGCTGCAACACTATAAAGCTGGGAATAAAGTACCTGCTCATGCTGCTCCGGTCTCGCTCTGTCTCCGGGATCCCCTCAGCTGCGGAGTTCTCCGTGGGGGCAGCTCTGCTCCTCCCCAGGCTGCCCCAAGCCCTCGGAGGGCCTCCAGCACCTGATCTCCTCAGTGTCCCCTCACAGTCTTACACAGACTGTTGGACTCCGCTTTCTCATAAGGCTACAGAAGGCCATTGGGCCCAATCTTGCATGTTGGGGGGTTGGAGTGATGATCAATTACTCTTCTATTGTTTCTTTCCCTCTGATCTCTTCTCAGAACACTCCCACTTCTCCAGGATCCCAAAACAAAAGCTCTTACATATATCCAACCCCTTAGGAGTCAGTGGTCTCAAAACTGACAAACCTTGTAGTTCAAGTTGGGGCTATAAGAGCCACTTTCACTGAGCAAAAACCACTTTGAGCACTCGAAAGCAGTGACTATCAGGAAAGGGGAAGCTGAGTATAGTCCGATATGTGCTAAGGACTTTGGGAAACAGATTTTAAAAGTTCAAGAAAAAATTTAAAGTGAAATATAACTCAAGAAGGAAATGTTCATGAATTTAACTTTGACTCTATAACTCAAATTAACTCTATGAAATAAAGGTAAAATATTCAAAGGGAACTAGAATAGATGCATTGGGAAAGCTCTATACTAGATACCAGGGTATTTTTAAAACTTGCAAGAATTTACAAAAAAGTCTTTTTCATTAGAGACTATCAATGGTCCTCTAAAAACATATCCTATGCTATGGCATAGCTATTAAGAAGTACAGGTAAGACTCAAACCCATGGTTACCTGCAGTGTATAATTTCTCCCCTTGGACTCTGACACTTAAAAGAGAATTCAAGCAATGCCCACATTGCTATAGTAGAAAATTATCCTTTCTATCCAGCCATTATCCACAGACAAAATTCACTCACCTTGATTCTTTCTGTCCTTCGGGTGTGTTCCAGATGGAATACTGCTTGGTTGAGTAAGGGGAGGGTTTAATTTCATAAAGACTTATGGTCATAATTCTGGAGCAAGATATTAGTCTTATTATACCAAGTCATTGACTTCTAATAAGGCTCCT